TCTCTCGGAGGGGAAATTATCCCTTCCTAGCCTCGCGCATCAATGGGCTTCGCCAGCAGCTCTGCAGATCAATGCGGCGCTGCCGCCATCCTCAAATCCATCATTTTCTGGATGCTAATCTCAGCCGTCGGGCTAGCCGAGGCCTCAATTCACATCTACGACCGAGTTCCGTTTCGAGAAGTAGGCAGTGCTTTTCTCGTCTCCGGTGGAAGTGAAGGCATCGCCGGCGCTGACAGCAGCAGTCGCTCATATATTCGGTACCTTTTGGCTTTGCTGTGTGTTTTCTCGTGTGTCGAACTAGAATTTTACTGATATTCATTCAGATCTACTGTTACTTTTGCTTGCATTGAGCTTCTGGCGTTTGATCCTGTGTGGTTAAAGAGAGAATAACTCGCTGGATACTTTGTTTCAGTTTTATTTTTGGGGACTTGATCTACTCATACACTGTTTGTAAGATGTGGAGTTTGAAAGTTGAGCTAGAATCTGTTTCCATTGTTTGTAATTAGCTAATCATCGGACTGCTTCTGAGGACATTGTAATTTTCGAATCTTGAAGTTTTTTCTTTTTCTTTGGTTGCAATTGAAGTAGATAAATTGTCTCCAGATTCGGTTGTATTATGATCTGCAATGTCTATCTGAAGCTTTGTTATATGGAGTCATTTTTCAGTTATCTCAGACAAATGAAGATTGGGAAATTGATTTGTTGAGCTCTATGAGATCCAGTGACTGTGTTTCAATTTTGTACCAAATGTCTCAAAACAGTCTTCATAGGCATATATATAGTTCCTGTTTGTGTAATTGTTCATATGAATAAATGTAATTGCCGATATCCATTTGTTTATGCATACTGCACTCTGCATAAAGCCAAATAAAATGCTTATGGTACAAACACGCCTCACCAATTGACCAACCCTTTTATTCCAATATGAATGCCACACTACTCATACTATTGAAAAATTAACTTAGATTCGAGAACGTGACTTTCTGGAGGAGTAAAGAAGACGCAAACCGTCACCCCTCTCTTGCATACAATGGTGGGCTTGTTCAAGTTATTATTTTTGAGGCGTCTGATCGTGACAATATTGGTGGATCGGCTTATGGTGGGCAGAGATCAATATGTTGCACGCCCGATCTTGCCAAATTGGAAGGTTGCAAACAAGGAGAAGTAATAAGAACACCATCGGCAAGCGATAAAAACTGGCCGGTTGTCATAAATGTTTATTTCAGAGGAAACATGCTATCGACCCATATGAAAAAGAGTAAAGAAGTCAACATCAAGAAGACGGGGATGTACAATTTATTCTTCATAACATGCGATCCAAAACTCAAGGACATGAGGGTGACTGGGCGGACCGTGTGGAAAAACCCTAGTGGCTATTTGCCCGGTCGGATGTCTCCCCTCATGAAGTTTTACGTATTTATGTCAATTGCTTATGCGATTCTTTGTGGTGTATGGGTTTTCCAGTACGTTAGGTATTGGGACGACGTTTTGCTGCTACAACACTGCATAACTTCTGTCATTGCTCTTGGATTATTGGAGATGACTTTTTGGTACTTTGACTTTGCGTATTTTAATAGCATGGGGGTGAGGCCCATTGGAATCACGGCATGGGTTGTGACAATTGGTTCTGTGCGAAAAACTATTTCTCGAATCCTTATTCTTTCTGTTGCAATGGGCTATGGCGTTGTTCGGCCGACTCTCGGTGGCTTGACCGTAAAAGTGCTTCTCGTTGGAATCACTTATTTCCTGGCGACCGAAATGCTTAATATTGCAGAAAATGTGGGGAGCATAAATGACATTGCAGGACGGGCAAGGGTCTTTTTTGTTGTCCCGGTTGCATTTTTGGATGCCTTTTTTATTCTATGGATTTTCACTTCTCTTTCAAAAACACTAGAACAACTTCAGGTAATGCATATACCAGTTATAGTTATAGTTTTGATTACTTAGAGTTGTCCACCTGCTGATACTTATTATGTTTTGTTTCCTTTACAGGCTAAACGGAGTTCTATCAAATTGGATATATACAGAAAATTCTCGAATGCACTGGCACTTACTGTTGTTGCCTCAGTTGTATGGATAGGATATGAGGTGTGTGCACGTTTCAGGTGTTTTTATGCCTTGGGCCTTCCCTTCTTGTTGGTTTTAATATCAGAAGAAATAGTTTAGTTTCAACTTTCATAACTTACTTTTACCACCTTAGAGTAATCATGAATATATGAGAGAAACTTCTTTCTTTTTTCTTTTTCCTAAAAGCAAGCGGTATCATGTGTAAGACGAGAAAATGAAGTCTCAAACGTTTTACTTAAAGCAAGCGGTATCATTGTTAGTCAAAAGCAATTGGCAATGAGGTTTGCTTATGCCTTCATAAGCCTGAAAAAGGAAAAATATGCAATTGTTGAATGTTTGTCCCAGTCTCCTAACTAGCGTTCATGATTTTTTACCTCATCATATGGCATAAGAGCCCTTCATCACGCGTTTACGAATTTGTTACCTGCAGCTTTATTTCAAAGCAACAGATCCCTTCAATGAAAGGTGGCGGAATGCTTGGATTATCACAGCCTTTTGGGATGTTCTAGCATTTGCTTTGCTCTGTGTTATCTGCTACCTCTGGGCCCCATCACAAAGCTCCCAACGGTATGTGATAGCACCATTTTGTTATATGAGTTAAGTATTCCAATCAAGAAAGGTTGCTTCAGAAATAGGGTACACGGTCCACCTTTAATATGTATACTAGAAACTCGTCAGCTTTTGACCTTATGCAATCACTGACCAGAGCTAAAAGTCTGTATATGCTTAGTTCTATTAAGAAATTTGGTTTATGGTATTATAAATCCTGCCAGGTATGCGTACATGGACAATAAGGGAGATGAGACAGATGATGAAGAAACTGAATCGCTGTGCAGAGAAACTTCGAAAGGTAGTATTAGTTTAGTCAAGCAAGGCCAAGATGATAGAAACAATG